GAGCAGGGAGCCCGATGCAGGACTCGATCCAGGGACTCTAGGATCATGACCTGAGCCGAAGGCAGTCACTTAACCAACTGAGCCACCCAGGCGCCCTGGCCTGGAACTTCTTATAACAACTTCTTAATAGTTGTAGTAGTCAAAGCCAAAACAAGTCACAAGGTCAGCCCACATTTGAAGGATGGAGAAATGTGCTTTTCGCTTTGACGGGAGGACATACAAGGACACAGTGAATGTAAGGAAAAGAACTGTAGCCATTCTTGCAATATGCCATACATATATATTACTCTGTGGGAGTGTAAATTGGTACTGATGCTTTTGAGGACTATTTAGCTGTACCTAGTAAAGCTATTTATCAATTCTACTTCTAATATATACTCAGGAGAAATTAGTGCTCATATCCACCAAATACATGAAAAAAAATGTTCATAGCCCATTTATTCATAATAGCCAAACCCAGAAAACAATGCAAATGTTCATCAATAGAAAAATGGAGAAATACATTATGGAATATTCATATGATGACATACCATATGGAAAATAAAAGAACAAAGACCACTACATGCAGCAATATGGTGAATAAAAGAATCAGACACAAAAGGATACATATTGTGTTATATGATTAGATTTAGTTGCGGTTTGAAATTGGGAAAAACTGATCTGTGATGATAGAAGTCAGAACAGTGGTTTCCTTGATATGTGTGTGAGGGGGGAGTGGGGATAGTTATCAGGCAGGAAGGAGCATGAGAGAGCCTGCTGGGGCACTGGAATGTTCTGTATCTTGATGTGAGTGATGGTTGCATGTGTGTATGTGTGTGGGGTGTGTATGTGATATTCATCAAGTTCTATCTGTAAAATTTAGACATTTAATATATTATAAGTTATACCTCCCTGTTAAAATAATTTTTTTTAAAGATTTTATTGTTTTAAGTAATCTCCACACCCAACGTGGGGCTTGAACTCACAACCCCAAGATGAAGAGCCCCATGCTCCTCCAACTGAGTCAGCCAGATGCCCCTAAAATAATTTTTTAAAGGGTGGTGGTGATGATAAATACATGTGATTGGAGTAGAGAGGAGGGAAAAGCGCTGGGGCCTGGCAGGACCAGAAGTTGTTGTTGGCCAAGGGGAACTTAAACTTGAAGGAGCCAAGATGGAGGATGGTTTGGGGACTGGCAGAGACAGAGGCAAGCGCTCCCACCTGACTCAGCTACTCTCACACTCTGCATCCTCTCCACCTGCCAATCTTTTTTTTTGTTTTGTTTAAGATTTTTTTTTTTAAAGATTTTATTTATTTATTTGACAGACAGAGACACAGCGAGAGAGGGAACACAAGCAGGCAGAGTGGGAGAAGGAGAAGCAGCCTTCCCACTGAGCAGGGAGCCTGATGTGGGGCTCTATCCCAGGACTCTGGGGTCATGACCCGAGCCGAAGGCAGATGCCTAATGACTGAGCCACCCAGGTGCCCCGTTTTGTTTAAGATTTTATTTATTTATTTATTTATTTGAGAGAGAGAGAGAGAGAGCACGAGCAGGGGGTGGGGCAGAGAGAGAGAAGCAGACTCACTGCTGAGCAGGGAGCCCCAACGTGGGGCTCGATCCCGGGACCCTGAGATCATGACCTGAGCCAAAGGCAGACGCTTAACTGATTGAGCCACCCAGGCATCCCTCTACCTGCCAATCTTGCAAATCCTCTTGACTTCAACCTTCCAACTGTCTAAGTTTAGAATGAGAAAAAAAAAATATTATATTGACTTGAACGGAGATACGTTAAATTGCTTAAACGTATAAAAACGCGTACAACCCAAATTAAGGACGAGCTGGTAGAATTGTTTCTGTTCAATACATCCTTCAAAGTCAGACACATCAAAACCTGTTGTCCCGGCAAAAGCTTTAGTACTGGGCTGGGGTTACAGTAAGTCCTCAGCAAACTCGGACGCACAGGGACGTGCACACTGTCAATGCCCAGCTTTACTCTGGAGTGGAGACCGGAAACACTACTAGTTGGTATCTTGGAGGGAAATTCCCCATCATTCTGGGAATTTTGACTTCCTTACTGATTCTCACAGGCTAAATTCTAGGGCTCCTCTCACATTTAGTCCTGCTCTTCCCAAATATTCAGAATAGTCCTCTCTCGATCGTGTCCGTGGCTCTTAGAATAATGAATGGGTAACTTACAGTCACTCCCTACAGAAACCTCGAAGAATCCTCGTCATACGTGTCATCAGCCAAGGGCTGGGTGAACCCTCAGGTCCTTATGTCCAAGAGCCGGATCCATGTGGGATTCTGGCCCGGGCAAACAGCCTCTTCTATAGGAATAAATGCAGCTGACTGGTTCGTTCTTGGGGGCTTTAGATAAAAGCTGGGAGGTGTTCTCAGTTGGGACAAGAGGGTTCTTTCGGTTTAATTAATTGGCAACGCGTACATGAGAGAGGCTACAAGTTCAGGGCTGACATCACTCAATTTCTGCCCTCAAATATTAAATCTAAGTCAGTGATTCGCTGGTTGCTCAATAGCACCAAGAATCGCCTTAATGTAAGTCAAGGGCACCTCCAGCCTTTCATTTTGGTTTTATTAATTTTTTTAAGTAGTAAAGCAGACAGCGAGTGTCTTTCCTAAGCCCTATTTGGCATCTTGTCTTTCAAGGGGCCCAGGTACCCGTTTTCCCCTTCTTACATGGAGGGGCATTCTCGAGCTTTGCTGGAAACCCCGGGCTCCCGCCTTGCAGCTCTGTTTGTTTTGGACTTTTATCAAGGAGGGGCGGGGTGGAAAGTTCTACGTGGGGGCAGAGATGTCAAGCACAGCCCCCTGGCCTTTCTCCCAGCCAAACAGCTCCGATAAGTGGGCAGGCCTTGAGCCCAGAGACCCACAGACACACTTGGATGACTTTACAGAAATCAGTTGGCCAGTCCCTCCAAGGGCTCTGACCAGCTCCGGATGCGCCTCCCCGCCCAGCGCCAAAGACATGGCCAACCAGACCAACGTCTCCACCCTGTACAACAGCTACGAATACTACCTGGACTACTTGGACCTCATTCCCGTGGATGAGAGGAAGCTGAAAGCCAACAAATGTGAGTTCTGATCTGGGGAAGCCGGCCAGGCAGAGGCTGGGGGTTGGCCCAAAAGACTGTCTCCATTCACCTCCAACTCCAACAGATGTCAAAGATGAGCCCACAGAGATAGAAGCGAAGAGGAGTAAAATGGTATCTGTTATCTTTGTAATAGGCTTGAAACTAACCTCCAAAGAAACTCAGACACTTTGGGAGCAGAATATGCTGTTAAGATAGATTTCCTCGATAGAGTTTGATTTGTCTGGGGTTCCAAGAAGCTAGGTGAGTTTCTTCAAATTGTCGATTTCACATTCTCTCTTGCTCTATGCAGATTTGGGAGAGGTTATTGTGTCCACCCCTAAGATAAATGACTTACTAATCTCTATGAAAATAACAACCGATTTTAATCTTCATGGTCTTAGGAAGGACCACCAGAACAAACCAATATCCTTTTGCTCATCTCTCTCTCAGTCTTTCTCTCTTGGGTAAATTGGTGCTTTGTGGACAATCTTCTCTGATTATTCCAGCTACTCAGTCAAGATAACAAGTTAGCTGAGGAAATGATTATGAAAAACAAAACAAAACAAAAATTAAGTCCCAGTCCTGGGGACCCATCGTCTGCTAGCCCCATATCTTGGGCTCCTTGGGTATTTCATGCCCTACAATCACAAAATCTGACAAAAAATAAGTGCAGTCACTAGAAGGAACAGGATGCTTTTTGTATGAAAAGCCAGAGAACCTGGACACACACCAGCTCAACACTGAAATCCATTTCCCTTGGAGGAAGTCATCTAAAATGTCTTGTTAGGAGGGGTTCCTGTTTCCAGTTTCCCTTGCAACTTCCAGAAGCCCAGGTACCCATCCATGTTTTCATCCATCTCAACAAGACCCACTTCCACACCATACCACAAACACACCATACCTGTCCTCCCTTCTTGCTTTTGCTCATGATTAATGCAACAATCAAAATTTTGTAACTATCCGTGATAGGCCAGGTGTTGCACTGGCAGATGGAGGCACAAATGCCAAAAGACTCAATCCCTGTCCCTGATTTTTCTCAAGAATGATTTTATTTTATGACCATTATCGTCTATTTTCTGATGATGCTATATTTCCAAGCAGGTTATCACAACATCCCCCCACCAAACCTGGGAAAATAGTAACAAGTAAGAACATGACACTGTATCTAAACATTTCAATAATGATGTCTCAGTGTCATCTAACACTCAGTCTACATTCGACTTTCCCCATTTCCAGTAAGGGGGCAGATACAGATCCTTAGTAAGCTGTTATGTGATTCACAGTATTATGCTGATGATTTGTACAAGAGCACAGAGAGGGAAGACGTAAGGAAGGCTTCACGGGGAAGATGGGCTAAGCTGAGTCAGAGGACCCAAAGGGACTGCCTGATCCACAGAGGCCAGCCCCGGGGCGGGGGGACCAGTTACCCTCTGCTTAGGCAGGAGGTGCTTCCGGGAAGCGTGACATGGAGGGTGTTTTTGGGAAGATTGATGTGGGGGCCAGATTCTTGCAGGTCAGCCTCAGAGGATTCATGGGAGCTGCAGGGAGTCATTTTAAATTGTAAACAGAAAAGAGACAAGGTCTGATTTGCTTGCTAAGAGTATCACTCTGGCGAATATATAAATTTGAGGTTTGGGTGGGTGGCGGGTGACACAGAGGCAGGAAACAGCCACATGCTGGGCCTGGAAACATACAGTTGCAACGATCTCTACCCTGGGGAGTTGACAATCCAGGAAGGAGGGGCCAGCAGAAATAAACAAGGGTGCTTTGGTGTTACAGCTGTGGGAATAAAAGTGGGGGGGGGCGGCAGGGCCCAGAGAAGCCAAGTGACTTTCCCCAGGTCACCCAGCAAAATATTTGCAGAGCTGGGACTTCAGTTCCAGGCTCTGATCCCTGAGGACTCTTTCCAGGACACTAGACATGTTTAGTGGGCAGATTCTCACCAGACAGGATGAACGATCAGAGCAGGAACCTTCCTCTGACTTGCTCTATCTCCAGCTCCTGAATAATGCCTGGCACAGTCTCTGCGGGATGAATAAATAAATGAGTGTGAAGTAGGTAGCTCTTGCACACACCGTTAATTTTCATGATGGATATCTGTGTCAGTTATCAATTTGTTGCCTTCAAAATACGCTCTGTGATAAACGATGGTATTCCTTTAAAGTGAACCGGGAGTTAAGCTTTCTCTGGACAGGGCCGTGGGGGGCGGGGAGGGGAGAGGGTCCGTAGGAGGGCTGGGCTGGGGTTGGGGGTCGGCAGGGGGCCTGTGAGGACATGTGGGGCAGTCAGCCTGTCACTGTCACTGGCCCAGAACACAATCCCTCTGAGATCTTGTGGCTTCATGTGGCAGCCATCTCAACCTGGAACCCAAGGCCCCTGGGCATTCTGTGGTGGTCATAAGGGTGAGTCCTAATCCAATATGACCAGTGTCCTTAGAGGAGGAGATTAGGACACAGACACATGCAGAGGGAAGACCACGTGAGGACACAGACAGAGGACAGCCATGTACAAGCCAAGGAGCAAGGCCTCAGAAGAACCAACCCTGTGGACACCTTGATCTTGGACTTCCAGGCTCCAGAATTGTGAGAAAATAAATTTCTGCCCTTTAAGCCACGGTCTTCGTCTGTTCAGGCTAATATAACAAAATACCATAGACTGGGTGGCTTAGAAACAACGAAGATGTATTTCTCACAGTTCTGCAGGCTGGGGAGTCTAACATGAAGGCACCAGCGTGGTGACGTCTGGGTGAGGGACCTTCTCCTGCTTCGGAGCTGGTATCTTCTTGCTGGGTCCTCATGGGGGGAAGTGGTGAGGGCATTTCTGTGCAGCCTCTCTTATAAAGGCACGGATCTCATTCACAGGGTGCTCCACCCGATGACTTAAGCAGCTCCCAGAGGCCCCACTGCCCGATACCATCCCACTGGGCATTAGGATTGGACAGATGAATTTAAGGGAACACAAATGTTCTGACCATAGTGCAGCCTGAACAAATGACCTCGCCTGGGTCCCCTCCCTCAGCCCCAGGGCACCTCGTAGAGTTTCCTTATATCTTATAGATGCTCTTTTAACCCGAATAATTTTTCATACTAGGCTTCCTGCTTGTCCTTCTGTGTGATTTCTACCTCCTGGACGGGGCCTAGGCTGCCATGATGTCCCCTCCAGTCCTTCTGCTTCTGCTTCTGCATCTGCAGAAATGCCTGGCACTGCTACTTTGAAAGAGCAAGTTCATGGAGTGCAGGGGGAAAGTGGCTTTAATTTTTCTCTGGTCTCTCCTGCAAACCTACTTGGCAGTGCTGGCTCTTTCCCTGCCCCTGGGTAAGATCTGGAGCAGGACTCATGCTCCCACTTACATTTTAAAAAAAGTGTCTATCAGTCAGTCTTGTTAGCAAAGCAAATGTCTAATCCTATGAGATAAATTTCAAAAATGTTTAAAAACAAACCACCTTCAGGGCACCTGGGTGGCTCAGTTGGTTAAGCGTCTGCCTTCGGTTCAGGTCATGATCCCAGCATCCTGGAATCGAGTCCCACATCAGGCTCCCTGTTCTGCGGGGAGCCTGCTTCTCCCTCTGCCCCTCACACTGCTTGTGCTCTGTCTCTCAAATAAATAAATAAAATCTTAAAAAAAATAAAATAAAAACAAACCACCTTCCAACTTCACTCAAAGGGAGAACTTGCTCTTTCCCTGGCTCAGGGCAGGGGTGCTCCTTCCTTCTTTGCTCTGCCGGCTCCTTTCTCCCGGGCCACCTGCCCCATCCTGGTCTGGGACACCTCCTCGCGGGAGCAGGAGGGATGGAATGCGGAGAGGGTCAGGGAGGACAGGGGGTTTGTCAGCGAGGCAGCTCAGACTCTGATCTGGAGGCCGGCCGGGCTCGGCAGCAGACACCTGCTCGGATGGCCACGGAGGGTGAAGACACAGTCCATGTGCCCCAGCAATGTCCGCTACCAGGGGGCCTGCTACTTGACTCCAGAACTCTGCTCCTGTTGATCTCCCCTCCCCTCCTCACATCAGCACCGGTTAGCGGGGCTTCTCCGTGGGTTCCCTGGGACGGGGTCACCCGCCCCTGCGACCTGTGTGTGGGAAAGCGACTTTGCTCTGTAGCGGCCGTTACTTCTCTGCTAAACTCTCGTACTGGCCTCTTCACTGGCTGCCCTGTCCCCCAGCTTGACTGGCACTGGTCTAGGCGGGGGTGTCCTCTTCCCTGGGGGCAGCATGTCAAGCTGGCTCCTTCTCTCCCGGGGGGAGCTTTGTGAGGTCCTCCACCAGAGGGAATGCTCCTTCTACTCTGCTGCTGATTGCCCAGTCTCTCGCTATCAAGATTTTCTCGAGCACACATCAGACTCCAGTCTGCTGTGTCCCACTAACTGCAAAGGACACGTGCAGAGTGCCCTGGAGTGGCCCCTTTGCCGCTCGAGTGGAGGGCAGGGCGCCAACTACCCTCTCATACAGGGTGAGGGCATGGGGGACTATCTACCGTCTCTAAAGAAAATCCCTTGGAGGGAAGGCTTCCAAAACCAGACTTTAAGTAGTCAACACGTATCTTAGTCTACTCAGGCTGCTGTCACAAAATATTATAGACTGGGAGCTTAAACAACGGACATTCATTTCTCACTGTTCTGGAGGCTGGAAGTCCAAGATCAAGGTGGCAGGAGATTTGCTGTCTGATGAGGACTTGCTTCCTGCCTTGTAGACAGCCACTTTCTTACTGTGGGCTCACAGGGCCTTTCTTCCAGGTCTGTGAGTGGAGAGAGCCTGCGGGGAGACGCAGCGGGAGGTGGGGGGGTAGAGGGAGAGGGTGTTTCTTCCTTTTCTCATAAAGACACTAATCCCATCGTGGGGCCCCACCCTCGTGATTGCTTCTAAACCTAATTACCTCTCAAAGTCCCCACTTCCAAATACCATCAGTCTGGAGATTAGGGCTTCTGCATTGGGAGGTGAGGGAACATACTCAATCCATAGCATTGCCTTTCTATAGAGTCCACTGTGATCATCCTGTCTCCCC